ACTAGGTTTCTTTTGTCTATATAAGGAACTTTATAAGATATTGTTCATTAGGGTTTTTGTGTGTTAAAACAACAAAGAGGCAAAAGAAAAATAGCTCTCTAAACAACACAAAAGCCGGCCACCAAAGGGGGTTTTTACTAACATCTCTTACACCCTTTTGGTTATTCCTTCATCCTTCTCACTATACTAGTGGGTGAGGATCTTTAGAGGTTTCCTACTTTGGGAACTTGAAGAGAACCTAGGAGCACTCATTGTAACAAAGTGGAGGAGGCAAGGAGGGAAGCTAGGCTCAAGGATTTCAAGGAGCAAAGGGCTTGGAGGTGGTCCATCCTTGGTCTCAAGTCTAGATCAAGAGGTATAAGACTAACCTTCACCTTGTTCTTGATTCTTTAAAATGTTTTGATGCATTATATATAAACCTATGAACCTTGAAGGGGATTTGCATGACTATAGCTTTGATAATATGTTATAAATGCTTCCGCTGCTTTCGTATATTAAATTTGATTTGAATATGCATGATAGTCATTATGAAATCCCATTCTAGAATCTCATAAATTTCCCTTCAGAGCAGAGGAAGCATTATGTCTTCCAAACCTTTTTTGATCCCGGATCACTATGATGAATGAACATCGGTGCGGGCTCAAGTAGTATAGTAAACGGGTGTCAGTATGAAAGATGGATCAAATCCTCGTTGTGAGGAGGCAGCTTAGTCTTCGTAGTTAATCACTCTCTTTGGGTGCAGAACTGTAAATCTGTCTTTCTCTGCCTAGACCCAAACTAGCCAGTAACTGGAGAGAGGCAAAATGAATCAACACCCCTCGGATCTACTAACCAATGCAACTGGGAAACCTTCTATCAAAAGTTCTGAACTAGCATCTGAAGCTAGGCGATACTCTGCCTTGTATTGTCGTTGCTTGGATTAGGGAAGAAGGAAGGGATTACACCAGAACTCGTTGATCTGATCTTCTATGCCGGGGAATGAGGAGTCGATAGAGAGAGCTTTAAATCGAATCTTTGGAATCTCATCTCTAGAGGCAGTATCTTTCTTTAGTTCTGTGAAATCCATATGAATCCATACGCAAACAAAGGTAGCTGGAACATTTCTTTTTTTGGGGGACTGAATGGCCCAAAACAAAAAAGAAACTATCTAATTACCTCTCTGGGTCGAGCATACCCAAGAGAGTCTTCAAAACAGAAAATGAATACAACCAGGAGGATGACTTTGCGATTCAAAATAACCCAGGTCATAAGTCAATCCAATGCTTGCCAAGTAGTCTGCAGAGAATTTCTTCTCCTTATAGATAAGGGAGAGCTTGCAATGCCAGTTCATCTTCAAGTAAGCTTGGCAGCCACGGATCAGGGTATGAAAAGGATGGAGAAAATTATCCGGCTGATTAACAAGAGTCACAACAGTAGCAAAATCCACCTCCACCTCAATATATCTAAAACCTCTTATCCAAGCCAAGCGTAATCCAAAAAAAATACCCCAAAGTTCTGCAGCTATAATTTGCCCTTCCCAAGGCTGGCAGTGAACCCAGAAATCCAGTTCCTATTATTATCTCTTAAGAGACCACCAGTACCAATAGATTCGTTGGGACCCTTCATGCAACCATCAATATTCACCTTAATCCACTTTGGTGGGGGGAGGGATCCCAAGCTAGATAAGCTTCAACTCGAGCTGGTTTAGAATGCAAAGATGTAGTGGCCAGTCACCATTCCCTGGCATAGTTCCAAATGCAGATTTGGGGAGGTTGATCCGAGTAAAAAAATTTCAAGATTTCTCCACCTCCACAGGAACCAGCAACATAAACCAAAAACTTGACCCCAACACAAATGAAACCTGGTATTTTGGTTGGAAGATAGATTGGCCTTGAGCCATTAAGGGAAAATTAAAGGAGTTGACCAAGAAGGGATGCCAAGACCATCCAAAAGAGATTTTGCCCTAGTACAGCCCCTCATGCAGTGAATACTGTCTTCCCAGGTGCATCCACAATGACTGCAAGTAAGGTCATTGGTCATCGATCTTCTAAACCTTTGAGCATTTATAAGCAGCTTATTCTACCCCAACAACCAGAAGAAAGCTTTCACCCTGGGTGGGAGTTGTATTTTCCATAGGAAGCTTCCCTCATAGTTAGTTTGTACATTAAGGGAGGCTGCAAGGTTGTAAGCAGTTTTAACAGAGAAGGTTCCATTAGTCGAACCCTGCCAGATGTATCTATCATCATCAGAATCAATAAGTCCAGCAGGGATCCCAATAATTTCTTCCACAATATCATTAAGTAGCACATCCCTCCACTTGTTAACATTCCATTGGCCATCGAATATAAAATAAAATAAGCAACTTTTTCCTCCTCATTTATCTGAGTATTGGGGATCAAGGCAACATCTTTCAAATTTATTTAAGAGAAAGTCTTAGCCCATAAGCCCTCATCCCTTTGAATCATTCTCTAACTGGCTTTGGCAAGAAGGGTCGAGTTCATAGCATTCATTTGTTTCAGGCCTCGGCCCCATTGACTTTGGGACAACAAACCTAGCTCCATTTAACTAGGTGCACCTTGGCTTTATCCGCAGAACCTCCCCATAAGAATCTTTTATTCAGTTAATCCACATTTTTGCACACACTTGCTGGCAATTTGACTGTCTGCATGGCATAGATGGGAATATCAGATGTAACAGACTGTATCAGGGTTGCACGACTAGCTAAAGATAAGGATTTGGCCTTCCAATAGGCAAGTTTACTATGCAAGGTGTATATATAGCGTTCTTCTTCTTGCCTCGACCCTTTTGGCCAAGAGGAAATCCAGAGCGACAAAAGCGATTTCAGTCTCCGTCTCATCAATTCACAAGGCCCAAATGCAGTATCAATTTCATGTTTTGCTTGTCCAAGTAGTAAGGGTTTTAGCAAGTGTAGGCTTTGTTGGGGAAGTTTGCCCCAAGTTCTGTATCCATGCAGTCTCTACGTGATGGACTGGTTGGTCATTTTTTGGCTTTGTCGTAGTAGTACTAGTATGAGTGGCTATGGGTTGTTGATGTGTACGAGAGATTCACTTGCATCAACTACCATAGTCACCCATACATTTGTGTCGTCAGTATTAAATTGCTATTAGCATTAGTGGTTCTATACACACCCAGTGTAGCTAGGGTTTTGTAGAAATCAATATTCTCTAGGCAATTTACTGGCTTATTAGGAAGTTTTTGTTATGATACTACGATACCTCTTTGCCATAGATGAAATGGGTTCATCACTGCATGACATCTTGATCTAATAATGAAATGTTATGTTATGCATTAGCGGATCCATTAAGGGGCAAGGGTGAATCTCTATAGATGACTTAGGTTCTGCCCCTTGAAGGTTAAAGTTTTCCTTCATACATATGCCCTCCAACTACTTGATAAAATGTCTTAAAGAGGAGTTGCCAGTCTTATTATGTTTAAAAAGAAATATCAACCTGGGCATTATATTTTTGCTATGCGTTCAAGTAGTAAATTTTCTCAATTGAAATGAATTGGTAGCCTTGGAAAAAAATTTGGTGGAAACGGGGAGGAGCATAGCATATAATCTTGTGTATTTGCTAATTATATTTGCTTTGATTTTACCGGTTGCTGCTGCTTCTTTAAAGAGATATCAACCTGGGCATTATATTTTTGCTATGCGTTCAAGTAGTAAATTTTCTCAATTGAAATGAATTGGTAGCCTTGAAAAAAAAAAAATTGGTGGAAACGGGGAGGAGCATAGCATATAATCTTGTGTATTTGCTAATTATATTTGCTTTGATTTGACCGGTTGCTACTCCTTCTTTAGAGATAGCATTTTCTGCTATGAATATTGTGAAAAGTTCATTGCATAACCGAATGGGAGATCAATAGTTAAGTGATAACATAGTGGTTTATATTGAGAGCAATGTATTTTCTTCTATTGATAATGAAGCTACAAAGCAGCGTTTTCAAAGTATGAAAACGTGTCGTTGACAATTGTAACTTGTATTATTATTTATCCTATAGATTATGAATGATGGAATTATGGTTTAATTTTTAAGGTTATTATATGTCTAAGAAATTTTCGTGAATTTTTACATGTGACCCTCTGAATATTTTTCCTAGATCCACTACTGATGCCATGTGAAGTGAAGAGAAACTTACATGTGATATTTATTAGATCAGGATGTCACGGTGATGCTAAATCCGCTCAATGTAAATTCTTTTCCCAAGCTCATCCATGAAACGGTTTAACAATTGGACGGCCAAGATGAAGTATTATATTAGACATGTTACAAGAATGAGTTGGTTAGATGGGCATATCTTTCTTTGTGAAGTATAAACTAGAACGAGGTAATTAAATCCAAATTAAAAGGTCGCTCATTGGCCTGCATTGAGATGTTGTCTTAATACTTTTTTTCGTAATTTCTTTTTTTTTTTTTTTTTTTGAAGAAGAAGAAGAGATTTCAAAGCCAAATGGAACTCCAACGATTGTTAGTTACAACATTGTTTTGATTGCCTTGGCACATATACAGGAGAACAAATGTCAAACAGTCCGTCCACGATCAGGTATACACTAGTTATATATAAACATACCTTTCATATATCATTATCTTGTCTGACCGTTTGAACGCTTATATTGTTATAATAAGAGAAAAAACTTACAATACCACTCAATGCAATGTAAAATCAATGGTTGAACGTTTATATTGTTAAATATGTACATATCTTTCATTTGTTTGAACGTTGATATTGTTATAATAAAGGTCAAGTTAGTTCGGAAAAACTTACAATACCATCCAACGCAAAAATCAAAGTGTTAATAAAGCCAAAGATTTCAGTCCATGAAGAACAAAACAGAGGATAAGATAACTACGTATACGTACGTACCATTGTCACTAACCATCCAATTTTATAGGACGAGTACTATGGCAATTACTGGCTACCCACCATGGAATCCATACCATATTTCTGTCTTCTCCTTGCCCAAACGTATTTGATTTGTCCCACTCATCATATTTAATTACATCACCTTAGTAAATTTCTAATCTTTAATTATATATTATAGGTATCATGGTTGCTTTCTGACCCCAAAAAAAAAAAAAAAAACAAAACAAAACAAATAGTGATCATCTTTTCCTATATTTGCATGGCCCATTTCTCCAGCCGAAGGCAACAACGGCCGGCCTTCTTGTAATACACAATTGTCTTTGCTCAGATTCCTAGCTAGCTAGCACTTCCTAATTCTTCTCACTTCTATTACTATCTAAGCCTAAACTTATCCAACAAACTTTATTGCTGAGAGGGAAAGACATTAGTTAGCTATGGAGGACGATGCTAAGAAGTTGGAAGAAGGTCTTCATAAGAAGGATGATGAGCTGATCAAGGAGATAGTAACGACGAGTAGTGGTCGGAATGGTGGCAGTGATGTCGTTGCCCATGATCATGAGGATGAGGAGAGGAAGAAAGTGGAGGCGGTGGCTCCTCTGCAAGCGAAGGAAATCAAGGGAGAGGAGCAACCAGTTTCAGTGGTTAAGCAGAAGACCAAGAGGGTTGCTACTTTGGATGCATTTAGAGGCCTTACCATAGTGGTACATATATATTTCATGTTATAGTGTACTATATGCCTTGTCATTGGACTACATATGGTAAACCTTTATGATTTACAGTCTAACAGTAGAACATATTACATATATGCTTCATTATGTGTTGAATTTCACTTAACCAACTATTATGGTTATTACAATCTAATTAACAACATATTGTGGTCTGGCAAGAGAACATTTTCCTCACATGTATATGTCTACATCCAGGTGATGATATTGGTAGATGATGCCGGAGGAGCATATGCACGTATTGATCACTCACCGTGGAACGGATGCACATTGGCCGATTTTGTGATGCCCTTCTTCCTCTTCATTGTGGGGGTCGCCATAGCTCTTGCTCTCAAGGTATTTAATATAGGGCGGTGTTATCACACACATCCTGTTAATTTATGTTCTTTCATTCTTTTCAATTTATATATCCTACGGCCGGAAATTGAGAGAAGTGTGTACATGGTAAAAAGATGGGTGCGGATAGCATCTATACCCTTAATATATATTAATTAATATATATATATATATATAATGCTCCTTTTAAGTGACATTTTAAGGGTTCAAACCCTAAATGTAATCTACTCCTCTCCATCACCCTACACAACTACCCTTAATATCTCTCTTGCATATTATGTAGCGCACAACTACCCAATACATAAGGTAATTAAAAATCTTATCGCCTTAGAACTTTTGGTTAATTAAGTCTAGCTAGAGGCAGAAGTAAACAAATTTTCTAATTTACTCCTTACGCAAATTAAATCATTGACATATATGTCAAAATTTTGATTCTGCAGAAAATTCCTAAGATAAGTGATGCAATCAAGAAGATTATTTTAAGGACATTGAAGCTTATGTTTTGGGGAATTATTTTGCAAGGTAAAAGTCCTCTGTCAAGAAAAAAGCCTTCCTTTTAAAGTAACTTTCTGTAAATAATAACACATTGAATTTGTTGTTGTTCCAAATATTAGTTCTCTCACTCTCATGTGTTGTGCAGGAGGATACTCCCATGCGCCCTATGATCTTTCTTATGGTGTTGACATGAAACAAATCCGATGGTTCGGAATCCTCCAGGTATTTCCCCAAACGCAAACTTATATATACTTTTTTTTCTAACGAAAATTACTCAAGGACTAATTAATCTGACGTTTCCGAATCTAATCGCCTCTCGTGTTGTTGTTTATATTTTGGTAAAATGGTGAGCAGAGAATAGCATTGGTTTACTTTGTTGTTGCTCTGATAGAGACAGTCACCACCAAGCACAGACCAACTGTCCTTGGCCCTGGACACATCTCTATCTTCACTGCATATAAATGGCAGTGGTAAGTAATGCAACAGATTATAATCCCTTCCAATTTTTTTACTTTGTTCGGTGTGAATATATGTAGTTTTATCATTATGCAGGATTGGAGGATTAGTCGCGTTCCTTGTCTACATGATCACAACATTTTCATTATACGTTCCAGATTGGAGTTTTGTTGTAGACGAAAAACATGTATCAAAAGAATTCTTGGTATGTATATTTGCTAGGGACTAGTGCATCCGAAGTTTTCAGCATATGTACAATTTCTGGCACTGCTTAATTTTAAGTTTTTCGCTTCAGGTTAAGTGTGGGATGAGAGGACATCTAGGACCTGCATGCAATGCCGTTGGATATGTGGATCGACAGGTCTGGGGCATAAACCATCTCTACACACAACCCGTCTGGAGACGCTTGAAGGTTAGCTCTTAGCTCTACTTGATCCAGTTGTATACTGAGTGTCTACATTATCTTTAAAATGGAGCTGTGACTTATATCAAGGGGCTTGTTACTTGTAGCTCAAGTCATTAAGAGAATTTATACCCGCACCCGAGGCCCTGTTATGAGATTGTTGTTAATGGATATGATCTCTTCTTGTGATTTTGTAGGCCTGCACACTTAGCTCTCCAAGTGATGGTCCTCTTCGAAGGGATGCTCCAGATTGGTGCAGAGGGCCATTTGAACCCGAAGGCTTGTTGAGGTATGCCAATTTGAGCAACACTAGCACCAGTGAAAGTACATACTTGTAAGGAACAATGATGAAACTTTAATTACTTTTGATTGCTCTTCTTTCACAGTTCGATTTCAGCTCTCCTTAGTGGCGTCATTGGCATCCATTATGGCCACGTTTTGATCCATTTCAAGGTTACCGGTCTCTCTAAACTCGCAGATTACTTCACTTCTTAGTTAAATTTGAAAATTAAGGATGTCGAAGTTGGATTTTCATGCAGGGTCATGCGGAGAGGCTCAAACAATGGGTCTCAATGGCTGTTGTCTTGGTCATCATAGCCATTATTCTACATTTTACGGACGGTCAGCGTCTTTCACCTTTCCGTGCCTAGTTCTTGACTACGGGCACATCTCAAGCAATCTATTCCTAAAAACTTTCTTAATTAATTTGTCCACTTGCTTGCAGCTATTCCTATCAACAAGCAACTCTACAGCTTCAGCTATGTTTGTTTCACCGGCGGTGCAGCTGGACTAATTTTTTCTGCATTTTACTTGGTGGTAAACCGCTTAAATCTGTTAAAGCCAGTTCCCCACATCTTCATTTCGGGTGCCATTTATAAATTAATGCAGGGACAATTAGTAACTATCTTGTCATAAAACAGATCGATGTTTGGCACTGCCGGAAGCCATTTTTGCTCCTAGAGTGGATAGGAATGAATGCAATGCTGGTGTTTGTGATGGCAGCTCAGGGCATCTTTGCAGCATTTGTAAACGGATGGTATTACGAGTCCAAAGACAACAACTTAGTAAGTAGTACCGACACTCCTTGTCAATAGTCATCCTAAGTTTTCCATTGTTTCATCACAATTTCCGGAAAATGTAATCTAACGAATGGAGAAATTCTCCATAACTTTTGATAGGTGAATTGGATCCAGAACCATGTTTTCATCGATGTATGGCACTCGGAGAGGCTGGGAACCCTCTTATATGTGATATTTGCAGAGATCTTGTTCTGGGGAGTAGTTGCTGGCATCCTGCACAAACTGAAGATATACTGGAAGCTCTAGAAGCAAAATTTGTTGTCACATTCGGGAACTGATTTCCACTCACCTCCTTTATTTTGTTCGTTGATTCTCCAGAGAGGTGTGCGGAAACCTTACCCTTCACGGGTTCTTTTCGGCATGGTGTATTTTTTTTTTTTTTCTAGTGAATAGATTATTCATGTTTTCTTATTTTGTTTGCTTATTATGCAAACAGTAGTAGTATGTGTACAAAATTCCCCCAAAAAAGTATGTGAATTATCAGTTAGTATTGCAAATCTTTATAGAAAATTAAAGTGTCCAGCAGTGCTCAATTTGGAGAGAATGTTAAACCTATCTGCATTAGTGAAAGACTTTCAACTTCGTGACATGCAAAACATTTTTACTTGCATATAGGTTTTACGGCGTGAGTTCGAACTCCATCGGTAACTAGTAAAAAAAAATAAAAATTAAAGGAAACAACCACAATAAGACAGCATGCATAATTTGTAAGGACCAACGATACTAGGAACCCTGCCCTCCCCGCCAAGATGTTCCAGATTTGATGCTGCAACTTAAGAGTAAAAAGGGTTGGAAATTGCAATCAGCATAGAAAGGGACACGAAGAGAAAGACATCAACGGTGTTGCAGGAGAGAATCTACGTTTCATCACGCAACGAAAAGACCAATAGTATTGTAAGAGAGAACTTGACTTGTAACTGGTTATACAGAAACAAAAGAATATAAAACCGAAAATAGCTAAGAATATCTTTGTGTTGTAGGGCTTTTGAAACCTAAAGCCTCCTATAGTTTTCACTCCCTAAGGGGGCGTTTGTTTTTGTTTTGTTTTTTTTTGGGAAACCTGGTAACATTAAAAGGCAAAGATGCCAAGCAAATACAAGGAAGCCTACCCAGAGGCAAGACACCAATAACAAAAAAGAAAGTAATACGAGTGGTTCATAACAATACCACGACGCCGCATCTAATGCTAAAGCGTCCCACATCGCATAACCCAAAAGGACAGCTAAGGGGGGCAGGGAAGGCCGTCATTACATAGAACATGAATAAGGGAAGATGGGGGTCTATCGACCCAAATCTAATCACAAGCTTCCCTAAATAGTCCGCCGCTGAATTGGCCGATCTTGGAACCCAAGACCAGCGGCAGTCAGGAAAATCCTTACCTAAGCTGCAACATTTCACCAAGATAGGAAAGGCATCCCAACTGCCATTCCTTGCCATATCCTTTAGACAAGAAATTGATTCCAATGAATCGGATTCAATAATAACGGAGCTCCATCCCCTACTTTTTCCAAATCTACACCCATTCAGAATAGCCAGAGCCTTCATCATATCTGCACTAGACGCCTTCCCACTATACCTTTCTGCCGCCAGGAACCGACCCTCCTCACCCCGCGCCACCACCCCAATGAAGCCCGACTTGCTCCTGAGATTCCAACTAGCATCCACATTTATTTTCACACTGCCCATGTTCGGCGGACTCCACCTAATTCCAACCCCAGACTCATGTTGACCCGTGCTAGGCTCGGGCGACAGAGCTAGATGAGCAGCAGTGTAAGAAGAAGCCGAGAGGGAAGAGGCAAAGGTCACCTGCCTTGGATCAATCTGGTGGTTGTTGAAGAGCAAATTACATCTAAACTTCCAGATATTCCAGCATGTAAAAGAAATATACGAAAACATCTTTAGACTCACCTCCTTTGAGCCCTTCACCGAAGTAAAGACCTGCAGCAGCCAATGAGCCCACGACACTGTAGCCGAAATACCCACCCTCAAACTGAAACAACCTCCACTCCAGATAGCACTCACCCAGGGACACTGCAGAAAGAGGTGTTCGATTGTTTCCTCTTGCAATTGACAAATTGGACAAAGTGGGGACTAGGCCGATCTCCTTCGTGCGAGATTTTCCATTGTTGCAAGTGCCCCATGGAGAGTCTTCCACAGAAAGCTTCTTATTTTTAGGGGAGTTTTTAAGCTCCAAACCAACTTCCAGAAGCAAGTAGGGATGAGGGATAAAGAACTGTTGGGAGGGGAGAGGTATCTATCAATAGCCCAGTGATATCCCGACTTTACCGAGAACTTCCCTTTTTTCTCAAACGGCCAAATCAAACGATCACTTCTCGAGGAATCACCAATATGCAAGTCCAATATGGCCTCTAACTCGGGTTGCTCAAGAAAAGGTTTTAAAAAATCAACATCCCAAACCCCAGTCACCGGATTAATTAGAGACTCCACCCTCAAGTTTCGGGAAACATGGACCGACCCTAAAGGAGTAGGCCTACCCAATGGGAGAGCCGGAACCCAACGATCCCCCCACACTTTAATCTCCTTGCCATTCATTATCTGCCAATGAGCTCCATTTAATAAAATATCTCTTCCCTTCAGAAGGCTTGACCAAGCCCAAGAAGCTCTCACGCTTCTTTTCGCCTCAAGGAAAGAACAATTCGGGAAGTATCTAGCCTTTAACACCAAAGCCCATAACGAGTTTGGGTCTTCGACTAACCTCCAACATTGTTTTGCCAACAGAGCATCATTATACACTTCAAAGCTTCTTAGACCCAAACCACCTTTCTCTTTCGCCCACCCCAATTTTTCTCTAGCAATCCAATGAATTCGGCGCTCTCCCTCCTTTTGTCCCCACCAAAAGTTCGAAATCACGGCATCTAACTCCTTGCAGAACGAGGCTGGAAATTTGAAAAGATTCATCGGATAAGCCGGAATAGCTTAAGCCATAGGTTTAATGAGAACCTCTCTCCCCGCTTGAGACAGAAAATCTTTCTTCCATCCTTGCAGTTTCTCCAATAATCTCCCCTTGATATAAGCAAGACCGGTTTTCTTCGAGCGTCTCCAGATAGCAGGAACTCCCAGGTAAGAACTAGGATCCCCCACTATTTCCATGCCAAGGATAGACGCCAATTGAGTGGACAGATGCCCCGAAACATTACATCCAAAGAAAATACTTGACTTGGATTTATTAACTTTCTGCCCAGAAGCCAAGCAAAAATCATCAATCACTTTGGATAACTGTTAACAGTTTTCCACATCCGCCCTTAGAAAAATGAGTGTATCATCGGCAAAAAAGATATGGGAGATGGTAGGGCCAGGAGAACTCATTTGAATTCCTCTTAGGTGACCAAGATCACTATACTTTTGAATAAGAAGGGAGAAGACTTCACTAACCAACAAGAACAAGTATGGGGAGAGCGGATCTCCCTGCTTTAAACCCCTGGAAGGAGCAAACTTTTTACCAGGTTGCCCATTCAAGAGAATAGCAAAGTTGACTGACGAAATACACCCGAGAATCATATTCCTCCATTTTCTGTCAAACCCCATCTTCTCCATCACTGCCATCAGAAAGTCCCATTCCACACGATCATAAGCCTTATGCATATCCAACTTAATCCCCAACTCCTAATTGCATCTTGCTTTCCTATTTTTTAGGAAATGGAAAAGTTCGTGAGAAACTCCAATGTTGTCTTGAATCTGCCTGCCAGCCACAAAAGCATTCTGAGTTGGTGAAATCAATTCCGGAAGAAAAGCTTTGAGCCTTTTTGCCAAAACCTTCGACAGAACATTGTAAGAGTAGTTGCACAAGCTAATTGGCCTAAATTGGGAGACCAATTCCGGATTTTGGACCTTTGGAATCAACACCAAATGAGTTGCATTTAATCTTCTTGGATCCTCCTGACCATTCATCAAAATCCCAACCATCTCATTTACGTCCGCAGCTAAGATGTCCCAGTGTTTGTGGTAGAAAATTCCAGAAAAACCATCCAGTCCTGGAGCCTTAGTCCCCCCCATTTCCAAAGCAGCAGACTTAACCTCATCAACTGAAACCAGCCCATAGAGGACCTCGTTCATCGCCATTGTTACCTTCGGGGAAATGCAGCCGAGAACATCTCCCCAATCCCGCTGTCCCACTGATGTGAACAGGTCCACAAAATGCTCATCAACCACTCTCCTAATCAATCTCGGATCATCCACCCATTCCCCGTTCCCATTCTTCAAAGTAATCACCTTGTTTCTTCTTCTTCTTCTTTATATTGTCGATTGGTGGAAAAATCTAGTATTTGCATCCCCCTCCTTCGGCCATTGTACTTTTGATCGTTGTAACCAAAAACATTCTTCTTGTCTCCACAAATGGTCAACTTCTTTGGAAAGATCTTTAATTTCTTCTTCATACTCCCTCCAGTTGAGTTGCAACCGGCCAAGAAGCTCAAATTTCTCCTTCAACTGTCTCCCACGCTTTTTGAATTTTTTCTTGCTCCACCTCCAAAGTTTGTTTCGACAGTCATTTATCCTCCAATTCCTTCTTTTAATAGGCGTCCCATCCTTATGCCTACCCCAGACCTCCTCCACAATATCTTTGTATTCCCCTTCTTTTGTCCAAAAAGCCTCAAAATGAAGCAATCTTTTACTTCTTTCATCCCCATGCAACTTGCATTTCACCACAACGGGACAATGGTCTGAACCCACACAAGTGCCTATCACTGCCAAAGTATTAGGCCACAAAGACTGCCATTTTTCATTCATCAGAGCTCTGTCCAACCTTACCTCAACCATCTGCCCATTTCGCATCCCCCTCCATGTAAATTTAGGCCCATTAAAACCCACATCCATAATCTTCGTTTTACTCATGAACTCCAAATATCGCGGCCTATTGTATCTCACTTCCGCACCTCCTGCTTTCTTGTGATCTCATATAAATTCGTTGAAATCGCCTCCACATAACCAAGGATCATTATCAGGATTGAATTTACAGATCATATCCCTCCAGAAGCTTTCTTTCTCCGCCCTGTATGATGTACCATAAGCTCTAGTGAAACGAAACCCAGACCCAGACTCACCAATATAACATTTAGCATCAATGAAATGCTTAGATGACTCTTTCACCTCAACACATATTGTATCGTCCCACCAGAGGCTTAGACCTCCCGCACTCCTAACAGGAGCTACATTAAAGCCATTCAGATATCCCATCTTCCTTCTCACTCTTTCAATCCTATGATCTTTCATTTTTGTTTCTGATAGAAAGGTCATAAAGGGTCGATGTTCCCTAATTAGCCCATGAAGGGCACGAACCACCGTGTCCGACCCTAGGCCACGGCAGTTCCAGAATAGGTGCGTCATGGCGATCGTGCGGCTGTTGAAGGCCAGTCGCCACCGCCTCTGGAAGACTTTTCTTTTTTCTTAGCCAACAACGCTTCTTTTTCTTTCGCCGAGACATTCTCCATATAATCCCACATATCCTGGTACTCAATCGGAACCTCCTGTAACAACTCTTCAGCATCCAGAGCTCTCACCATCATCGAACATCTT